TGTTTGATCAACAAGTGCATCCTTATGTCTGTCGTTACCGTATATGTTCCAAAGCATCAGACGAATCAAGTTCACATCAGTGATCATTATTCACGCAAAAGTATTTTCTCAGAACATGAGTTTTGCTATTTAGAACACAATTTAAAGCGGAATTGTCATGCGCCAAGCAATCCACGCTGTGATTAAAACATTAAATCGCATACCACAGGAAAATTGTTCGAAAGCAGCACATCCACTGCAAATATTTCTGTTTAAATTCATATAAAAATGTTGTAATTTCTGGATAATAATTTCATGAAATTTCAGTGTTTAACTGCATTATTGAGAGTGTCATATTTAATCTAAATATGTATGTCAAATGTAAAACAGACTTTAAAATCATTCTGTTTGCATTATTTCGCTCACTCCAGTAAAAGTGCGTACGCATGGTCTAGAGCAGTGGTTCTCAAACCTCTCCATGAAGTACCCCCAGCACTGCACATTTTGTATGTCTCCCTATATCTGACACACCCACTTCAGGTCTTGCAGTCTCCATTAATGAGCTGATGAGTTGAATCAGGTGTGATAGATGAGGGAGACATACAAAATGTGCAGGGCTGGGGGTACTCCAGGACAGGTTTGAGAACCACTGGTCTAGAGTGTCCGTACGGTGCGCACATATTTACGCCTAGTTTATTTTTTATAAATCCCGATATGTGCGTGGAAAATTGCAACGTTTATACATCAGGCCCCAGGCTTGACATCATTTCAACTTGCCAAATTTCAATGTGCGATGAGTCAACTTTTCCACTTTTTTTCATTATTATTACACATGAATATTCAGTAAAAAAATGTTTCGGTCATTTGAAAACCTCTAGAAGAACAGCCGTTTATTTCATTCAGAATATTTAGTTTTGAATATGTTTAAATTACAACATAACACACATCCAGACATTGCTGGAAGCATTCCAGTAATGAGCATTTCAGCAGAATATGCAATAAAATATAAAAAATAATGTTTATTTCTATGTAGAAATTAGTCTTTGTGCAAGATAGAGAACACTATTGTTTTTATGAAGGTATTTTTTTATTACTAATTTTAAATGTTTCATATTTTTAATCATTACTGCCATGGAGTTTTGGTTTCAGGAGAATGACCCAATGAGATTTGAGAGCAGCTGAAGATGGGAAGATTTTTGTGAATAATAACTAACAACAATAATTAAACCAAAAGGGAAAATTCTGTCATTTACCCGCCCTCATCTTTCCAAACGCATATGACTTTCTTTGTTCTGTGTAACACAAAAGGTGAATTTTTGAATATTAAAATATTCCTGGCCACTGGGGCTGGCAAGCTTTCAAAATTGATATTCTTCACACAAAAAAGCTTTGTGGAAGAAAGTCATCATGTGGTTTTAGAACAACAAGAGTATGATAAATTACATAATTTTCTTCTTTTATGAAGTATTTTGTTAGAATTAAAAAATATATATATATTTTCAAACAGTGTGCCAACAGAAAAATATGAATCAGGTTGGCTTTGTTTAAGAAAAAATATTATAAACAGCATTAAGATTTGAAAAGTGGCACTCCATTTCAATTTTGTCAATTTCACTTTTACATCTAATCAAGTACACTGCATGATCTTTTGATGGAAAGTTACCTTTAAACTCTGAGCATAAGAGAGCACATCTGACTGAGCTCGTCTTGTTTCTAGGCGACAACGAAGCGGCTTCACACAGATTGTGTTTGTATCAGCCCACGTTTCTCTCTCATCTAATTTCATCTAAGCAAATATGTGTGTGCTGTTTAAACCTAATTAACAAAGATTCATACATGGCGACTAAACGCACTCCTCCTCTGCCTCTATGCATGGAAAAATCTGATTAATACACCACTTCAGTGTTATTCTTAAGGACCACTGATCTGTAAAGCAAAAACTCTTGGTCCAGCAAATCACCAATTTAGCAATTACTAAATTACCCTTAATTACAACGGCAGCTAATCAAGGCTTTAATGACCCAATGAGATTTGAGAGCAGCTGCAGATGGGAAGATTTTTGTGAATAATAACTAACAACAATAATTAAACCAAAAGGGAAAATTCTGTCATCTTTCCAAACGCATATGACTTTCTTTGTTCTGTGTAACACAAAAGGTGAATTTTTGAATATTAAAATATTCCTGGCCACTGGGGCTGGCAAGCTTTCAAAATTGATATTCTTCACACAAAAAAGCTTTGTGGAAGAAAGTCATCATGTGGTTTTAGAACAACAAGAGTATGATAAATTACATAATTTTCTTCTTTTATGAAGTATTTTGTTAGAATTAAAAAATAGATATATATTTTCAAACAGTGTGCCAACAGAAAAATATGAATCAGGTTGGCTTTGTTTAAGAAAAAATATTATAAACAGCATTAAGATTTGAAAAGTGGCACTCCATTTCAATTTTGTCAATTTCACTTTTACATCTAATCAAGTACACTGCATGATCTTTTGATGGAAAGTTACCTTTAAACTCTGAGCATAAGAGAGCACATCTGACTGAGCTCGTCTTGTTTCTAGGCGACAACGAAGCGGCTTCACACAGATTGTGTTTGTATCAGCCCACGTTTCTCTCTCATCTAATTTCATCTAAGCAAATATGTGTGTGCTGTTTAAACCTAATTAACAAAGATTCATACATGGCGACTAAACGCACTCCTCCTCTGCCTCTATGCATGGAAAAATCTGATTAATACACCACTTCAGTGTTATTCTTAAGGACCACTGATCTGTAAAGCAAAAACTCTTGGTCCAGCAAATCACCAATTTAGCAATTACTAAATTACCCTTAATTACAACGGCAGCTAATCAAGGCTTTATTGGTAAATGTTAGTATTGATGCTACATGATTTGTTTACAGTGATGGGTGAAGTTCGGTATGTGACACAGCAACAATGTCGTGACATAGCAGTCTACATAGATACAGATTGTTGTTGGATATATATGTTCACACATACGGGTGTCCGCTCACCTAAACGCACACACTCCAAAGTCACGGCTGCCACCACGAATAATAAGGAGAGCTGAGGCAGATCGGACTACGGCTCATTTGAAATCTGGGAATCTCATTAAAAGTGAGAGAAAAGGTTTTTGACAGCCTTCTATGTGACATCTCACCCTCTCCTGCTCGTCCACGTGGGCTGCCCTGTCAGCCGTGTCACTTCCTGTTTGCAGAATTAGTCACTGAAATGTTATGAGACGGGAGTCAGGTTGACAGCTTGTTGTTAAATAAAATGCAGCCATAAATTATTAAACCTATTTAATAATAAAATATAATAAAATTATTAAAAAAATTAAAAAAAAAATTTTTTTTT